ATCTCCAGGTTTTCCAGCGAAGCTCAGCCTTGGGTTCCTTATGACGGTCACAAAGGAGATTTTTTTCTTTCAAGTGCTGCTACAGAAAGTCATGTTCCCTCTCCAGAGAGGGGACAGTGACATGGGGGTGTTTAACTCAGAGTGAGAGCAGGAGGGAATGGCCCAGGCAGGTCACATAGTCAGGTATATCCTAGAGCACAGCCACTACCTCAGGCACAAGCACTTGAGCTGCAAACCCCGACACAGCACTCGGAGAGCAGAACTGTGCTGGGCTTACGTAATGTGTCAGAACTTTGTTTTGTGCTCCCATCAAACACTACTTTTTTTGGCTTCATCTTTTCCTTGTGAATCCTTAGTACAGATTACGTGAACAGACTGCAGAGCATTATTCAGAAAAGCTTAATTAACCTCAGCGAGGGAAAGAAAAGCATATCGTAGAAGCTGTAGGGTAAAAAAAGATCATATTCAGACAAATAAGTGCAAATGACCCAGATGCATCAATTTCCTTTAGAGCCAGGCAAGGCAGTCTGGATGCTCTGCAGAGACTGTGGGTCTGTGCCGCTGCTGCTCCTTCTGCTGTCCCACACCACCCCTCAAGTCCATGCTAATCCTACCTGCTCTCAGCCCCTTCTCTCCTCCATCTGTCACCTTTCTCTTAGACAGCATCAAAATGCAGAGCTGGGAAGGCCCCCAGGAGATCAGCTATTCCCTTCGCAGGATGAAGTATACTCAGATCATCTCTGATGGATCTTTGTCTAACCTTCTTTTGAAAATCCCCAAGGAATGCCATCCCAAGACTTCCCTATTTTGTCTGTTCTAGGGTTTAACCACTCTTATAGCTAGAAAGACTTTTTTTCAAGATTCTAATCCTGTTCTCCCCTGTGGTAAATTAAGCCAAGCCACAATCAAAATGGAGAATAATTGATCGCCAGCCTTCTTAGAGAAGGAGCAGCTTTCACATACTGGAATGCCAACAGCTCATTCTTTTTTAGTTATGTCCTTTCCAGATTAAACAACTCCATTTCTATGGCCTTTCCTCACTGTTCAGTCTGGGTTTTTTGGTCTTTTTTTATATCTTCTTGCTGTTGTCTGATTTAAGTATAAGAACTAATTTTGTGTGACATTCAGAAGTGGAGAGTGTAAACCAGCCAGTGCTCACCCTGGCTGAGCCATGGGCAGGATGACAGACAGTACCATACTAACCCAGCTAGCTTATAAACAAAGGTAAATTCTAGAGCTTCATAATTTCTTCCTAATTCTCTCATATGTTGTCCCTGGAATAGTCAGGAGCAGAGGCAGCAGCCTGCCCAGCTGCCTTTTCTGTCCCAGCTGAAGCTCCTTCCCACAGCAAGACTGCTCCTGTAGCTGATAAATCTCTGTTCTGTGTGTACATATCTGCTTTGTCCTTCTGACACATAATACTTGCACCAGGCTGGGTAAACGATCCATTTTCCTCCTCACCCACACAGCTGCTTTCCTTTATCTTGTGTCTGCTTGTTTGATTTGGCCGACGTGCTGAGAGAAAGGATAGTCCTG